TATATATATATAAATGGATTCTGTAACTTGAGAAAGCCAATATTTGTTCACAAGTTCAACATCTAGGGCTTGTGCAAAGGTTGGATGAGACCATCCTATGAGTGGTACAAGCAGATATATCCCCAAATAGTTTTACAACCCAATTAAATTCCCCAATGAATAGCTCAGCTGAGTGAAGAAGCTAAATCCATAACTTTCTGCTGTGTGATTGTCTGTGTTTAATTTCTGTTGAACATATCCCTAAGGGGAAAGAGCAGTACCTACTTTCAAATTGGCTTCATGAAAACAGGTATCAGAGGGCATTACAGAAGTTTTAAAATAAACATTTTTTTTCCCCACAAGAAAAACAGCACACCCCCTTTTTCTTTTTAAACAGAGACAGTGGTATTGGTGGTTTTTACTTGCAAAGATGACATATAATTGTATCGAAAGTATGACAAAAATAACAAAACTTCACAGCCCAAACTAAAAATTATAGAAACTGAACATGACAGAGGTGACATGTTCAGGTTGCAGAAAGGGCCATGAGTCACTCCAGGCCCTGAGTTTACCTCTAGGCAAAGTCCCACTTCTCTGTCTAGAAATAAGATGTTGCAAAACTGCAGTGAAAGTCCTGTTTTGATAATGTTTGGGATGAAAAGTAATACAGGATTTAATTCCTAAGGAATACAAGGTGTGTAAAAACATATTGATTTTTCCTCCCCTTTCTCATGCTCAGCTGTTTTCCAAATTTAGGGTTTTTCCAAACACATTTTACTGATTGATGGGCAACCGATTGGCTGGGAGCGTGCAAATCCTTTTAGCCTTAACCAGGACTCCGTAGGAGAGCTTCAGATTTGCCACCTTTAAAGTAGTATCTTTTATAGCAGTTGCATGTAGCCCCAACAAAAATGAGCTATCTTTTTCTCTTCCACAAACATTCTATATTGAAGATCAATGCTATAAAGTCTCTCTCTGATGGACTAAACTTTATATATATTAGAAGGCTTCACACATCAGGATGTAAATGAAGATGCAGCTAATGACAAAACTTGAAATCATCAAATACAGGAAATCAAATCCAATTAAATCCAGTTCATACATAGATGTTTTGCTGAGCCAGTGTTTAAAATATAAGGGTTCATAATTCACTAGATCCTTTTCCTTTGAAACAGACTGAGTCATATAGACTAAGAAAACAGAAGATAATATTAAATTAATAGTACATTTTAAAACCCCCACAAAATACATATTTATCCAGTTAAATTCACAGTCATTCTTGTTATTCACGACCATAGAAAATTCCTAGTTTTCTTTTCAAAGGCTTATAAGTTGCATCTTTTTTACAGTTAATCAACATGGTAAAAGCCTTTGAAATACAATGTTTGTTGTAAGAATGCATAAATTAAGGGAATATACTGGGGGGATTAAGGGAGAGGAGAACAATATTTTAGGATGATGAATTATTATAGTAACTTTATTTTTAAATATTATTAGAAAACTGAAAATTTCATTTATTGGAATAATTGATAATAATGAATCTCCTTTCAACCATATAGTGGTTGCACACTATCTTACAACCAACAGTTTGGATCCTATCATTACAAAACGCAGGACTGCAAAGAGCCAAAAATCAAAAAGTTGTGCTACGAACCATATTTTAGACTGTAACACTGGGTTCAGATATCTTCCACAACATTCTCATTAATGTCTGCAATGGTTGACTGCATATCAGCAGCCACTAGAGAGATGCCAAGTTATATATACCAGGTAACAATTTTCAGGTGTAAGTAATAGCTAATGGAGATGAGGCAATTCTATGAAAGCCTTTCCAATTTTGTTTTGAAATAGGTTTGTATGTGAACACTTCCTCTAGCTTCACACGCAGTACAAACTCAAACAAGTTTATATCGTATTGGAAACTCTTTCAATGAGTTTATGTGCATTTATATAGGTCTAAACCAGTTCATTAATGTGCCAAAATTAAAAACAGAATTAGGTCTGAATTTTGATGCTATAAAATAATTTTGGTCTCATGGAAAAATAGTAGGACACTGAGTGACAAAATCAGTCACACAGAAGGCTTAATACAGGAACAAGTTTTGCATCACCCATGCCTCCTTCCTTCAGTTTTCCAACTTACTCAAGCAGCTTAACAAAAGCACATCTCTGTGGAAAAACAAGTGAAAATGGATCATTGTGAGATATGTTGACCCTATCTAACATCACGAGTTTGGCTGAACTTAGCCAGCACACCAGTGAAGTACTTCCACTGTGCAGCTTCCCTTGCCGACACTCTGTAAGCCGAAAAATGACATAATTTGAAGTAGAGGTGCACCAGTACATTGGTCCCATATTGAAATTGGCATCAACATACGGAAAATTGACAGTATCAGCAATCGGCTTCTTTTGGCTGACGTTGTCGGTAATGTGGTTGATAAATGCCCAGTGCATTTATAGGTACAGCCTCAGTGCAGCCCAACAGCATGGAGAGTAGCTGGGTTGGTTGGTAAGTCTGTTGTGTGTGTGGGGGGGGTGCAGTGCAGATCAAGGGCCCCCTCAGGGACAGAGGAAGTGGGGCTGGGGTAGGGGTAACGGTAGGAGCAAAGGCAGGTGCTGCCTAAGGCGGAGTGCAGGACAGAGCCACAAGTGGCTCATCTAGGAGGTGCAGTGGGGGAGCGCCTCGCACTACTGTGCATACCCCAGGAGGGCATGGGAGGCACATGGCCCTGGATCTGTGAGCGGTGCAAGGCCAGGCTGCCACTGTGGGATGGGGCCAGGGGCAGCACTAGGCTCTTCCTAGCAGGAGGCCTGGGCTGGGCTGGGCTGGGCTGGGCTGGGCTTGGGGGAGGCAGCAGCAGTGCTGGGAGGGCAGGTTTGGGGGGGAGCTATTGCGAATTTTGGGGTGGTTGCAGGCCACCCCTATAGCTCCCCTCTCATCGCTGCCACCCCACCCTGAGTGAAGCCCTGGCCCAACCCCCCACTGGGAAAAGACTAGCATGACCCTGGCCCCAGCCTGCAACAGCAGCCTGCCTGATCCAGAGGCACATACCCCACTATTCCCTCCTGGGGTGTATGCAGTGGTGGGTGCCGCCCCCTCCCCC